TATGCTTTTTTGTTGTGGTGGTGAGCTTGTTGCATGCAGGTTGGTGGATTGGTTTACAGCAAAGTTGTCCGAACGTACATATGACCCATTTTGTTATGCATTATTCTCAAATAGCTCTTATGAATTCGAAATTATCGCCTTCTATTTGGCAATTCCAACTCATGTAATTTTTGGCTTGTGAAAAATTATGCTTCAGACACCCATTATCATTAGCTCACCAAGATGATACATTCATATAGCATAGATGTGTCTTTGTTGATGAGAAGATGTTTTCGCTAAGTGCTATCCTTATGCTCACACAAACTAATGGCATGATCCCATAGAAATACAATTTTACGGCATGCTAGTATTGGCCTCAAAGGTCATAGGGATAAAGAAATTAGCGTTCTTCCTTAGACCTTATGTATAATTTCACTTCCTTCTGTATATTTGTCAATATTCATTTTTGAGCTTATATGTCGTCATTTTCGCAACTTGGACGGAGCGACAAGGCGACGCTGTAGAACATACCCATTCAAAAAATTAATCATTATTTTCGTCGACTTGATACCAAATTACCGGTCCGATGCTGAAAATTATTATGACTAGTATAGCAGAGGACGCAAGACTGGGTATGTTCCACATAGCCTCCATGTTGCTCCGACCAAATTGCAAAAGCTAGGTTAGCTAAAGTAGACTGCCACCAAACACGTCTCCTTCATATCTACTTATTTATTTTGGTGTAACCCTTACGGATTCACTTTCCTTCTTATACTTTTTTCCTCTCTTAACAACTTATCAGCACCAGAAGCAACACTTACGACCAGGAATTCACATGGCAGAAAATCAGAAGGAAAAAAAGGAGGAGGAAGAAAAACTTAAAGAGTCTCCTGTTTCTAAGCTTGGTTGTGAGGAGGTACCTTGGACTAGCAAGACAGCTCAAATGAGACAGCGGAAACAAATAAAGAAGGCACTTCATAGAGCCGACAAAGAGGCAATATGCGCAGAGGAGAACGCAGATGAAAATGAAGATGAGCAGGCTGGCCCGGTAATAGTGCACTGCAGTGCAGGTCTTGGCCGAACTGGATGTTTTATTGCACTCTGTATCGGCTCGGAGCAGTTGCGCCGCGAGGGTGTGGTTGATATTCTGGGCATTGTCTCCAAAATGAGGTTGGATCGTGGTGGCATGGTACAGGTGAGAACTTTTCTTTCTTATTGTACTACTTTGAACTACAAGGAAATGGACTCATTAGTCGTAGAGTAGGCATTTTGTTATCTGAACCAGTTTGAATTCAAAAATCAATTGAAATAAACTTAATACCAATGAAGTAGTAAACTTTGGCAACACATCGAAAGCCTGAATTCAAGTTTTTATAGATAAATAGGCGAAACAGCGGATACAATATCTTGAGTTGCTCTAAGCAGTCAGAATGATACTAATAGAGAAAAATACTTGAAAAATAGAGGCTGTTAAATTCAAGTGAATTGGTATGATGAAGGAAAATACTAAATGGCTTGAGGCACAGGAACTTCAAATTACTGTTATGCCCATTTTTTATAAGAGCTTGTAAAAGTTATATCTTATCCAAAATACGTTTCGCCGGCATCGTAGTCGACATCGTCAGTAAGTCTCGCCATTCGTAGCACCATATTACAACTCTTATCCTTTTGACGAGTTGTAATATGGTGCTACGAATGGCGAGACTCACTGACGATGCCGGCAAAACGTCTGGGAATGTACCATGTACACGGTCCTACTCTGGAAATGATGATGTATACAATGGAGTCCGGACTAGGTGCGTTCCTCTAAGTCATCCTACCAATATGACCAAATTGCGAAAACAAGGTCAAACAACTTTTAATCTAACATGTTGGATGAGTTTGAGTGAAGTCATAACCATCACCGAGCCGACAAATTGAGTCGCCTTCTTTTTGACGGCGGCTCAACACCCTCTCTCTATAATCTATCAATCAAGCATAAGTAGTCCATACTCAACTTTCTACCACCGTTCTTCACATTAAACGTAATTCCTAAGCTGTTAATTTCAATAGCCTCTCATCTTTCTTTTAACCACAGCAAACCTACTAGTTTGAGAACATTCTATTTCATGTCCAGGCTCTGCCATGTGTTTGGCTACTTCTGATCGTTGGACTCAGCTTCCTTTACAAGCATTCTTGTGTTCTTCTAGTTTTTGCCGAATAGGTCGGCATGTCTCACCAACATAACATCGACCACATGAGCAAACAATCTTGTTTCAGCCTGATCTCGATAATGGGTCATATTTATCTCTCAAAGTTGGCATAACAAAAGAAAGCGTGAAGGTTTCTTTAAACGCTGTTTTTATCTCCAACTTTCTTACTAATTCGCCAATCTTTTTTGAAAGAATGCAGATTATGTAGCCCCAGTCATAGCTTTCCTTGTGAGGTTAAAAGCTAATAACCCTAGACTGAGAGATTAGGACAAGTGGTTTCGTAACTTGACTTTCATGCTTACAAGCTCATATCTCATTATCTCAACCATACTTGCTTACGAACTTACGCAGACTCAGTCAGAGCCCTCTCTTGGGTCATTAGGCTTGATGATCAGAGCCTGAATTCACTACTGCAGTGAGATGCGAGGGCCCTCACGGATTGCGGTCCCTCTGAGATTAGTTGTAAATAGCAAGGGAAGAGTGATGAATAAAAGCTTACGTTTTTTTATGCATACAACTAAGGAACTTTGCTCATTTTAGCCTATTTTTGCTAATGCCTTTTGATAACTCTGATTTAGAGCCCGTATTGCCGATAGACGCTAACACACACATGCATACACATACGCACACACTCGATCAAAAGTAACAGGGCCAGTATGAAAGATAATTAGACAAGCCACTCTATATATATTCAGGTTTTTAATTTTCTTTTGGCTTAATTTAGTCTATATAAGAGGTAAAATAGAGCCAGATAATCTTCTTGTCCTAATGTTAACGTGAGACTTATACAGGAATGAGACCCAGCTCTGGTGATATCCATCATATGATGGACGAAAGCTCAGCCCGTTTTCAGCCGAGAATATACCAATCTTTTGTTTTGACCTCGAGATCGCGCTTTAAATGAGAAAACTGAATAGTAAGGCCAAAATATTGTGTCTTCTATTTTGGTTACAATCTTTTTTCGATACATAGACATAGTCTGTCCTCATTTTTGCAACTTGGTTATGTTGTTAGGGCTGCAGAGTTGGACTCACTTTGTCCGATGAGCTAGAAAAACTTACTCAGATATAGGATCAGCGGATAACTTCAGATAATGTACGTCCAATCAAATCGCTTTGCTAACACGACCAAGTTTCGAAAAAGAGGTCAGCTCAATTATATACATTGAAAGGAGACTGAATTCACAATAGAGGCCACAACATCTTGGTCTCCACATCTACGTGTAATCTGCTTGTTTCTACTCTTTAATTTCATATCCCCCATCCCACAGATGGGCCCACACCGTTACCTTTTCAGACTGTTTCCAGGTTTGATTCCTATCACGGCAATCGACTTTTCTTAATTTCCTTTTGTTCCTCATGAGCCGCTCCTTGATTATGTCTCTTTCTGGTGTTGAACATTTGTCCTGGGTCCAAGCGTCTTCTTATTGATGCCTTTGCTGAATCTCTAAGTCTTTCTAGGCCGCACGCAAAACTATCACTGATTCTTCCCTCTTCCTATTTTCTGTTCATCAGATTTCTTTGAAAAGGATGTCCGCAGCCTCCTTGATCTTTCGTTTTCTGGTGTTTTCCCAATATATCAGGCCAGACTTTCTGTTGAATTTCAATCAATTGTGTGGCCAGTGAGGACGATGTGTTTAGCTATTTCCTATCTTTCTCTATCCATTTTTCTGCATAGTCGCTGATGTTCTCTGATCCTTTTGCTGATTTTTCTTCCTTTCTCTCCGATGTAGTTGTGTCTACAGCGCTTGCAGTTTATGCTGTAAACTCTGAAGTACTCCATTTTGTTGACTTCTTTATGTTGTGTGGGCAAGCTGGGGAAGAGGGTTCTCCTTTGCTTCAGGATTGTTCGAATTTTACATTTCAATAGTATCAGCCGCAGCTTCCGAGCCAATTCGTAGGAGAGTAGACATATTCATCGTTTTTCCTATCTTTCCCATGCTTTCTTTTCATAATATTCGTCCTTCAACCTTTTCATCACCATCCGTATGTTGTGTTGTATTACTTATCCTTGATATCCATTCCTATGATACATTTGAGTTTGTTTTTGCATTTTCTCTTCCATGGACTCAGAATCAGTAATTCGTGGGTTTCTTATGACCATACTCTTTAGAATCCGCATTTTCATTTCATAAGTATGGTGAGACAGGAAGTTGAAGCTTATTCCTGCATGCGATTTTTTAGGGACATACGTTTCTTAGATGTCTCCTCTGAACGAATGACTTTAACATCCAAGAAAGGTAAGTGTCCGTTCCCTTCTATATCCATTGTAAATTTGACTTTTTCTTCCATGTAGTTTAAGAAGGTCGGAAACTCGTCTCATCTTTTTTCCATGTGACCAGAGTGCGAAATATTGCTTTGAAATCCTCCTCCAACTTAATACAGACATACCTTTCATTTCGGTTGAGAAGGCGGATGACGGGATTCATAATTTGGCCTTATCGGATACAGAAGTGTTGTCTTGGCATTTTGTATATTAAATTGCGCGAAGAAGCCATCAGCTCACCTTTCTACGGCTCCGATTACTCCGTACTGAATTTTCGTCTGTCATGTGACGGACACATTCGATAATCAGTCATTCACCTGGAGTTCTTGCATCCCTTCATAGGAGTGAATTCATTATATATTTGTCGATTTCCCCCTTCGTATTCATATCCGTCAGCATTTATTGAGGTGTCCCTTTGGTTTTAACTGTTGGTTCCTTTGTTAGAGTCGATAAGTTGTAGTATCCTCAAGAATATTTTCCATTTTCTGTGTATATTCCTTCTTATCAACCACCACTGTGATTTTCAATTTTTTATATACCTTGGTTATATTGTTCCTATATGTGGGTTCTTGATGCGCCAAGATTGTTGGGATGATTTCCATTCCCAGTTCTCTTTTTGATACTACTCGTAGATTCTCATAGATATTTATCAAATACACTAAAATGACCTCAAT